AATTTGTTACAGTAATCCAGGCATAACTCAGACACACACAATCACATGCAACTTTACGGAAACTAATTTAACGAAGATCAAATGCTGTCTTTACATCTTTAATTGTTTCCTGCTGTAGAGTAGGATAATTCAGAGTACTGCCATTTGCATTAGCAAATGCCATGTTAACTTATCTTTTCACCTGGAGTAAAAAATCCATCCTAGGAATTAAACATTCCAAGTCTTTGTTCCCTACTTCAGTCACAGAGTTCTTGATAAGCAGGGTATTGTTCAGTACCATAAATGAAAAAAAGAACTGCAATAGGGGAAGGTAATGAGGGATTTGCCATGTCAAATCACAGCAGCGACTTTCCCTCCCACAGAATGATTGCTGAGGATGCTGAGGGAGGACTCTTCACAGTGACCCTGTTTAGAAAAGTGATGGATGACTTCAAGGCTAAAGCCAGGGAGAACAGGTAAGAAGCATGCATTGCCAGGCAGGGCAGGCTAGCGAGCGATGGGGTAAGGTGAGGCTTGTGCTGCATGCAGCACAGCTGAATCCATCCCTGGGGTTTAGGACTTTGCTGTTTGGGCTGCTGCTGGCCCCAAAGCCACTGAGACAGCGGGGTTGGAAGGAGCTGTGGCAGCAGGTACAGTCGTCCTATTTAAGCACCAAACTACAGATCCTGGAGTGGTCCTTCCTGCTCTTGTGCTACTGACAGCGGGGAGCTTGCTTTCTGGGGGTGGTTTCAACTTCCACCCTCCACATACTTTAAATGGTTAAATGGCTAACAACTTTGAAACATCCCATACCCGCTTCTCCAGAGGCAAAAGAAATGAGTGTGGATATTGCTTGGAATGTGGTTTGTGAGAGCAAATGTTGTCCCATTGTAGGTTCATGGTTCGAGAATTTTATTTTGATGAGAAGGAACTGAAATGTGAAAAGGAAGAGCTGATGAAATTAGCTTCTGACAAGAAACAACAATATGTAAGTAGTACATCAAGTTGATGGCCCATGTAATGACAGCCTTTGCTAACAGCACGCCCAAGCACCTCTCACTTGGAAATGGCTTTGTGGTTCCATCAGGCTCCTGTGAGCTCCATTTAGCCCAGAAAACTGAGGCACGGAATAGATAACACAATTTGCCCAATGTCATCTGAGTTTTTGATAAGCTGGGAGCCGCTAACAGGCTGCCTGAGAATTATCTCCGCAGCCCAAGATGGCCTTGGTGGCGGTAGCGATGGAGCTGTTTCACGTAGCGAGGGGATCACGATACCATGGTGTCTGTCCTCATAGGGCCCGTTACTGCGCTGGCTGAAAGTGAACTTCAGTGAAGCATTTGTGGCTTGGATTCACGTGAAAGCCCTGAGAGTTTTTGTTGAATCTGTCCTGAGGTAAGTGGGCAAACATGCAGTGCCAGCAGAGATTCCTGTAGAAGTCAAAATGCACAGTGCTCCTCCTGGGGCCCTTGCTTCATGTGAGGGAACAACCCCTACCCACCAGGCTCCAGAAGCTCACAGGAGACTGTCCTGGTTTTGGCTGAAATAGAGTTGATTTTCTTCCTAGTAGCTGGTATAGTACTGTGGTTTGGATTTAGTACTAGAAAAATGTTGATAACACACTGATGTTTTGGTTGTTGCTGGGTAGTGCTTAGAGTGGCCAACGGCTTCTCAGCTCTCAGCTCTGCCAGGTGCACAAGAAGCTGGGAGGGGACACAGCCAGGACAGCTGACCCCAACTGGCCAAAGGTCTATTCCAGACCATGTGATGTCATGCTTGGTATATAGACTAGGGGAGGAAGAAGGAAGGGGGGAGGGATGACACACACGTTCGGAGTGATGCCGCTTGTCTTCCCAAGTCACTGTTACACGTGATGGAGCCCTGCTTTCCTGGAGATGGCTGAACACCCGCCTGCCCATAGGAAGTGGTGAATGAATTCCTTGGTTTGCTTTGCTTGTGCGCGTGGCTTTTGCTTTACCTATTAAACTGTCTTTATCTCAACCCATGAGCTTTCTCACTTTTACTCCTCTGATTCTCTCCCCCACCCCACTGTGGGGGGTGTGAGCGAGTGGGCTTGGGTGGTGTTCAGCTGCCTGTTGGGTTAAACCACAACAGAGATAATACAGAGGACCACAAAAATAGTCAACATACAAAGCTGATGAAAAACAGTTCTTTGGGGGCACTTACAGGGAAGTGGAAAATAGGAAGACACCATTTAGTTGACTTTCAGCTTCAGAAAGAAAATGCGTTCAGATAAGGAGGCAGCACACCGCCGCCGAGGTGGTGCAGTCAGCTAGCGTGCCAGGGGACTGCAGAGGGAGAAGAGCAGGAGCGGAAAGATGTGCCCCTTCCCAGCAGATGATCCCGTACCTTGATGTGTTTCAAGGTACGGCCTCCCGGTGAATTTCCAAGCCATGCTGCTGCAGCCCAACAGGAAGTCTGTAAAACGCCTGAGAGAGGTCCTGAATGTGGTCTTCAAGCACCTGGATGAAGTTGCAGCAGCAAGTATAATGGAGGTACGTATTTGGGTGACGATGGCCCGTGCTGTAGCATGTCTCAGTTTAGCCAAATGAACACTTGGACAGTTGGGGGGTTAGAGCAACTCCTCACACCTTGCAACCTGGGATCCCCAGGTGCAGCTCTAATCCCCGGTGGTTATGGACTGGACTAAGGGTAACAGGTAGGCTCAGATCATGATGGAGATGCACAGAGGTTGCTTATATTTTCTGCTGAAGCATCTGATGCTTACAGCTACGGGACTGAGGTAGGTCTGCTCAATTATGTCAGTTCTTCTTGGTAAAAAGATTCAAGTCTTCTATAAACATTCAGATCAACACAAGCAAGAAAAATTAATTCAGAACTAAGTGCTAGGACTGTGTCACCTCTGTCCCCGGTAAAAGGCTGTCATTGACTACATACCTCAAGCTAGGACTTCAGCAAAGCAGGAGTACTTGCTTTCTCCCTCCCTCTATCTTGAGTGCACAATTTAGGATAAACCCATTAGAACCACAGAATCGTAAAATTGTTTAGGTTGGACACGACCTTTAAGATCATCAAGCCCAACCGTTAACCTAACCCTGCCATCCCAC